GTTTCGACCCTATGGTCCTGTTTGGGTTGGCTCGACAGAACAAAAACCCTCATGATCCATTTTTACGATGAAACTTTTTCCTAGTTCTTAGACGTAACAACGCATTTTTGTTTTGATTATTATAAATCAAGTGTATATATATGTCTGCTACAAAATCCAGTTATTTGTTAGTGATTTTTATTACCATAACATAAATTATACCTGTTATATCTATCATAAATTATTTTTTATCTATTCTTAATAGTTTTGACCACAAAATTTTTAAATGCTTAGAACATGAATCGGTAACATTATTTTAATGTTTGTTCTTTATAAAGTTTCTCTCTCTCTCTCTCTCTCTCTCTGTCGCTCTATCTCTCTCGTAGGTCTGTCATATCGAATTCGAGTCATAAAGAGTTCTCAGTTGCACTATAGTCAACCAAATCTAAGAAATACATTTTGACAACTGTCAGACTTATTGCAAAAAGCATGCCAACCAAAAAATTCGAACGTACAATATTCGATTCTTAAAAATAAAATCGATATCGATTATTTAGAGTTGGTAATCATTTACAGTTTGGTTTGAATAATATCAGAATAAATTAGAAATGGATAATTCAAAACACAAGATTTATTTTCTCGTTTTTTGTTGTTACTGCTTATTTCTTATGATTATGAAAATTTAAGATTAAAACTAGATTAAAAATAAGTTTATTAAAATAAAATTAAAAATAAATTTATTCAATCACTTTCTTGAGCTGTCTGTCGTTGTCTAGATTAATTATTATTTGATTTTCAATAATGCATTCAAAGTTAATGTCCCTTTCAAAGTCATCCATAATCAATTTTTCTGTTTTTTCTACCACTTTTGCCCAACCATCCCTTGTGACATGAGCACATGGTTCAATGAATATAGAAGAAAGAGTCCAAAAAGTTAAAGCCGAGTCACAAAATTAGAAGACAAACACAAAATCGCAAAATTACGCACAGTCCCGAAATGGCGGGAGATTGAAATTACGTAGTAGTTTTTTCAGCGCGGCCTTGTATATAACGGGAGATTGAAATTACGAAGTAGTTTTTTCAGCGCGGCCTTGTACATAAGTTTTTTTACCTACACAACGTTGGCAAGGTAAAAAAATTAAACTTGTTTTATTCATGATTCATGTAATTAAAGAAATTTTAAAAATAAAAAATTTTATTAAACAAATAATACATTATAAAAATTAATGATTCGATTATTTTAATATATTTACCGATTATTTGAATATTTTTGCCGATTAATCCCACAGTAACGAATTTTAATTATCCAAACACTACGGTAAGGTACATAGCGACATATAATTGAAACGACGTCAAGTAAAAGAGTTGATACTGGTTATTTTTCTAATATTTTGCTTTGTTTGAAAGATTCGAATTTAAATTAGTTATAAATAACTATACACGTTGTAATGAAATACAGATAACTTCATAATTCTTCGGATTTAAGTAAAAGGTTATTTTAAATTACATGAGTACGCTTGTGTAAAGTTATTGCGGAATGATTAATGTGAAACGTCAAAAGGTATTTAGTAGATTTGGTTGACTATAAACATACTGATATAAAACCGTACACGACAAAAACCAGCGTTGAATTAAAATAGTTACATGCCTGAGAAATTATAATTATAACGAATGAAGAATAATATTATGTAGAGACCACCAGCATGCAATTGGCCAGGGTGGCTTACTCTTATCTGCTCCAAAGACCTTTTCAGAATCAGGAAAAAGAAGAAAACGAGAAACTTGTATGCAATTGTAGGACTCTTTCATACATCTTCCTATGGAGACACTTCCATAGTTATAGTCACGCTTGGCAAACAGCTTGGCAACCACAGTTATTTTAGCTAGCTTTTAGCTGCTGCTCGTCACCTATTTTATTTACTCTCCCTATCGCCTCTAACGAAACCCATGATATTATGTGGTAGTGGATTCCCTGACGTCATATATCTTAACAGAAGACGCTCATCGGCAATCATAACAACAAACAATTGTAATGGTACAATAAAATAAAAATGTGCCATTGTCGATGGTTGCCCTTTTTCGTGGCTTTAGATATAGCTCGAGTACGTGATTGGACTTGACTATGCCCTGGCATTGACGCCAAGGACCTATGCTGGGCCAGTCTGTTTATTTGGGTTACGCGTCCGATGTACCATCATTTGTTTTGATTTATTTAAGGCTCAAGATTTTTATGTTTTGTTTTCCTATAAAGTCAATAAGTTTTTTTTTTAATATAGAAAGAGGGTGAAAACTGAGCACACAGTCCTGATCTAGATACTGAGAAATATATTGAAGAAATATGATGACCATAGAAATTTACATTTATCCTCGATTAAGAATCAAAATTCAGATGCGAACTAAGATAGAATGCCTCGTTTCCAGTAAAAAGGGTTTCCCGTTCTCCTACACTTACCTTACGAAACTCAGCAGTGTTGAGCTGCTATTTTATGCTGGTATTATGTGAGTGTAAAGAAACGAATCCTTTTACTGGGTACGAGGCAATCCATCTTAGTCCTCAGGGTGACAACGCGTCTGCATTTTGATTCTTAATCGAGGATAGAATTAGATATCTATGGGTCACAACATCCACTTACCATCAGGTGGGCTGTGTGCTCACTTGTCACCCGTACGAATATTCGGTATGTGTCATCTACATTCTCATATAATTGACTCACTTAGGATTGGATTTTAAAACCGAAACAAATTTTTGAATTGCTGGCTGAACGAGAGCAAGTGGCTTAAAATGAATGAGTGAGCATATAATATAACTAGAATCAAACCGAATACATTTCTGATTTGATCCGGTTTACTGGTCAAATTTTCATCAAAGTGTGGATCACACGATCTTAGTCCAAAATTTTTTACCATGATTGCAATTGGATTTTTGTGAGACCAATTTTATTTAACATTCTTGACTACTCAGCCGGTATAGTGGTCTTAAACGCCACTGCTTATCAAGTTCTCCGCAATTGAGTCCCGAGTGACGCCAACGTTAGTTATTGTTTTCTTTCGTCAAAAAATTCTCTGCAGCCCGGAGTCAGGAAGTTCAATCAGATTCAAGTCAGAAGCAATGTTTCACTTTCGGCCGTGGAAAGCACGTAGGGCCGTTGGTATTATCTCTTTTAGTCGCATTGGATTGCTGTCCCATAGGACTATGAAAATGAGGGAGTAGAGAGTGCACTTGTCCTTGCGCATACACTTGTACACTATAAACTTAGAGTATTTATTACAGTAGTACTACTGTTAAATACTCTATGACCATAATGCTGTCCTGTGCATCTCCACAGGAAAGCATTATAGTCTAGTAGGCTAGTCTAAATTAAGGTCGGCCCCCGTAATCGAAATTCATTAGAAGGACATTTTTACAGAATACCGAGGTTAATCAATCCTATAAAATCTTATAGCTCATGAATAATCTGTACTAGTTCTAAATCTATCTATCCTCTTACCCAATTTTGGGCGAAGAAGCAAAATACTGGGTGATTTTTTTACCGTCTGAAAAAAAAATTGGACGTAACAGGTGAACGGAATAGAAGCCTATTGCACTGATATTATACATTTTCTTTATTTTACATTACCATATTATGAAATTGATCTATCAATAAATACTACTAATTTGAAATAAATTTTCGGTACTAAAAAATGACAACAAAATTTTTAAGCTAATTAAATAAATCAATTGAAAACTATCGAATTTAAAATAATACGTACCCAATTAGTCGTATTTACTGATAGATCAATTTTATAATATGATAATGCGTAATAAAAAAATATCAGTGCTGTTGGCATTCAGTTATATGTAACATATACATCAATGGCCATAGGCCACCTGTTACACCCAATTTTTTCAGACGGTAAAAAATCATCCAGTATTACCCTCCATTTAGATTTAAGCGCAGGCGCAGTCGAGTAAAAAGACAAATAATGAAGTAATTCGTATATTATTATATGATTCGTATATTATTATATGAACTTTAAGACATACATATATTCATATAGTATGTCTTAAAGTTCCATTGCTATCAAGTTTTGAGCAGGTAAGTTTTTCTTTATTAAAGAAAGTCCTTGTTGATGCCTAGTTTCCGATGAGTGAATGTGACATAACGTATTCTGTTCGCAACGGTTTTAGTTATTCTACATGTTGTGAGCACTGAGTGAATAAGTACGTGATATGTGTGCGAAAGCAATTTAACATTGAAATCAAGGATAGATGTACTCTGACCTCCCACGGAACCTATCCATCGGAGTTGAAGAAAGCATTTGTTATCTGTTTATGATTAGACTACTTTGAATAACTTAGTCCAATGTTACTTGGTTTGGGTTCCATTTTTATAATATTATGTAAGGTTTTTAGTAAAAACTAATGTGCTACCTATAAATATCTTCGGGGATTATAGTTTGAACTATGGAATAATGTTTTACGTGATGGGGCCACGCAGTAGCGTTTCATGGCTAGTGGCTACAGAACGAATGAGCCGGCTTAGTAGCATCCATACAACATCCACTTAGCATCAGGTTGCCTGTGTGCTTTTCACGCTTATTGCATAATAAAATAGTTTTAAAATAAAAATAAGAATTCGGAGAAGGTTTTTACCAAACAATTTTTTGACGGCTCCGTGGTGCAACTGAAGGTCACGGGTTCGAATCCCGCACGAAACAATTTGCAAAAAATTGTGCAATTTATGTATGTAAACTGATTCCACGATACAGGAGAAAATCCTAATGTGAGGGGTAACGTTTTTATAAAGAAAAAAAAAGAGAGAATATTTTCTTTTATATTTTTAAAAATCTTTGAAGATAGGAAAGACGAGGCGGCAGTGACCCATATTATACATCTGTGTCAACTCGAACGGTAAAGGACCACGTGCGCACAAACTTTTTATAATGCGAATGCACAGATAGACGAGGATAAGCGTCTTTGTTTTATACTATTTAGTGACTTCCGTCTTCTACTTAATAACGTAAACAATTTTAATTTTTAGGTGTCACAACCCTGCGGCAGCAGATCAATCACCGATGAGAGTTCGGTCGTCAGCGTCTATACGAACCAACCTTCCACAGCAGAGAGTACCAGAACCTCGGGAGTCTATTTAATTGCTAGCAATATTGCCGAAAAAATTACTTCGCCTATTACTAAGTAAGTGTTCTTAGCTCTGTTCATCATCTTAATTATTATTACATACTCACACAAAAAACTGCTTCCCTTAAAGAATGCCATGCGAAGAAACATGAACATTGGCCTCCCCTAAAGAATGCCATGCCAAAACACGCGGTTCCAAAAACTCTGAATCCACTTTTGATATAAAGTCTATGCTCGTGATCTAAGCTACTTACTTGTATAAGACTGCCACTCGAGAAACTTTTTTCCCCCATCGATTGTCGGTCCTTCGAGCCCATTTTCACTTCAGATTAGGAATCTGTTGTGCTATATCTCTATTCTAGAATCGCTTTATAATTAGTTGTAATTCACTTGCTGTCTTAAATTGACCTGAGCAGGAACTTTATATCAAAGGTGGATATTAGTACTTCGTTAATTTATACCGTGTAGTGGCGGTGTAAGAATATCTACTACTCCATATCATCCCGTGGATGTCGTAAGAAGCCACATAGGGAAACAAATCAGAAGATGGGCAGCTGCGTCGTCTTCACAACGACTAAAATATAAAACTGCGGTTGTCAATCCGCTTGCGAAGTGTGGAAACTATGGAAGACATCCCCCTTATAGGCAGTCTATGAGAAGGCCTATGTTCAGCAGTGGACTTTAATAGACTGTGATAGTAAATTGTATATTTAATCATTTATAAATTTAAGTTTTTTGTGTATAGTAAAGAGTGTAAATATAAGTAATAAAATTATCTTTTTGTCGCTGATATTGAAGGCTGCTACTCACACTAACGTGCTCTGAGATGTAATGAAATGTTAAATCAATTCATCACCAAACGGCGGGAAACGAATGAATAACTGATTTTGTATATTTTAAAAGAAAACAATGGTTTTTAAGTGCCACTAGTTTCAATTTAGAATTAAATTACAGTACAATGTCGAACCGTGGTAGCTCAGATGTTTAACGCTCGCTATAAATATAACAGAACGCGAGTAACCCGGGTTCGATCCCCGCCGGCACCAATGAAATTGTTAATTGCAATTTTAAGTGCTGATTTACCACGTGCTCGGCGGGGAAGGAAAACATCGTGAGAAAATCTGCAAGTCTGAGAAATAAGAAAAAAATATTTCGATGACATGTGGAGTTCGCCAACACGCGTTGGGGCAGCGCGGCGAACACTTCCTTGCCCTAAAACCCTCTCAGAAATGAGGGGAAGCCTGTGCCCAGTTGTGGGACGTTTATAGGCTGTAACTTTACTTTACTTTACTTTTATAATGTCTAACATCAAACTAGCCAGTTATATAAAGGCAAATTTATAATTATGTACCTGTGACTAATCCTTTGTGATTTTATTTAGATATAAATCCACAAAATCGTTAATAGTCCAATAAATTAACAGGTTTTAATATGTAATTCTATTGCTGTCTTGAACAATTTTAATCTTGCCTTTATGTTAACAAAGTAATTAACAGTAGTATTGTTCGAATGCTAGTAAGTATTTTTGTATATAATCTTGTCCAAATTATTATAATAATATTCCAGGTTCTATTCTACGTTTAAAGTGTCGAAAAACTTCTAAGTGATTGATGTGAAATAACTAAAATTTTCTCACATATATCGTCTTCATTTACAGATTCTTTGGTTTTGGTAATGATCAAGATGCAAACAAAACGTCTACCAAACGACCTTTTCATCGAATCGAAATCCTTGATGAAGTGCCTGAACATGTTACTACAGCTGATATGAATCCGTTGAGCAATGAAATACCAAACGAAAGAGATGTTGAGGAACTCTCAGCTGAAGGTAATGTCAAGAAAGCCGACAAGAAACCAGAGAAAATAACATTATTTTCAAGTTACTTACCAACAAAAGAAAATATAGAGTTAAATGATACGATCAATGAAGTTGGTAGTGGTGATGAAGAACCATTTGGATTTGATGATGATGACGATGACGAACCTCAGCCTCGGGAAGGCGGAATAATTTATTTCTTAGAGGTAATAGGTAGTATTATACAATTAATTTGGGGAGGGTTGATGGCGTTATTCCAGTCTCCTAAGACGACTTAATTCATATAAGCATTTAGAATCGAAGTAAAATTTTTCAAAAGATCCGTGATTTTAATATTTTGTAATTAAAAAAAGTTATGTAAAGAAGTGAGTTTAACTTTATAATATTGGAAAAATATAAATCAAAAATAAATGTGCAAGCTTACACTAGAAAACAATTATCAATAGTTAAGGCTTCGTTCAGTCTAGAAGTCCGCAGTGTGGTCTACCCTATGATATTTTTGCAACTAAGTAGCAGTACATCAACTGTTTTACTACTGTTTGAAAGCTAGAGCCAACGTAAAATACTGGTAGGGTTGATTTTGTCGAAGTCCTCATGAGAGACAAAACATCTGTAACCTTCTTTGTATGAAGTTGCTTAAGAATTTTGGCGGGAACTTGGCCGTAGATAGATGGTCGCCCCTGTTTTGTCGCTTAAATAATAATTTGAAGTGGATTTTGACTCATAAAAGTGATGCGATTTTGTGAATTAAGTGTCCGCGCGTGTGAACTATTAGAGAAAATGACGAAACAAGTGCTTTGAAGTCGATATAAACCTCAAGTTATTTCGATCGCTTGGGCGCCTTATGAACTTGAGTGGCTGTCGCATAGACACTGTTTTTTTATATTTCTATGGGCTGTCGTCATCAACTGTCCGCTAGGTTGAGCTGTCGTCAAAATCTCACAAGGGCTTCGCAATGTGACACATTAGCATATTGTGAAAAAAAGAACATAAAATGAAGATTTCGAAGGAAATGATAGGCACAGAAGGGCTAGAACTCAGAGTCGTAAAGCCAGTTAATAATAAAAAAAGAAGTTGCTTGAACGATTCCATGTGTATCTATCATCGCCCGAATAGTTATCGTTTATTTACATACAATTTTGTAAATAACAACAGTACAGTAACGGCTTAGGTGTGGTAGTAGTCTTCCGAGCTAGGATCCAGTTATGCAAAATTTATATTTCCATAGATACATTTTTCATATCCAAACCTGTTGTCTGTGTTTACATTATGGCCAAAGAGCATAAAACTACAATCATTATGTTAAATTATAGCTAGTACTGTAAATAAATCTTCTCAGCTGATAAGTTTCGTTTTTTAATTTAACAAAAGTCTAAAACTAAAAAAGAAATTAAAATTTTTGTGCCATGTTAATTTTATTATTAGTTTTTTATTAAATTTTTATTGTTAATTTTCATAAAGTTTGTTTATTACGGACATGTAGATGGTAAATTAAAAAAATATAAATAAATTATATTATAAATAAATTATGCGTTTTTTGGTTATTAAAACCCATCAAAGATCGAAGTCCATTACTAAACATAGGACTCCCCAGATTGCTTGATACAAGGGATGGTTATAATTGTGGCGTGGCGATTAGTAATAAGTTCATAATCAGATAAATGATATTAATGTAGCTTAGTATTGAATGGATCTTCAAACTGTAAACATTAATACATTAGACTCGAAGCAAAGTTTCATTATTGTGAATGATTGGATTAAAAATAAATGCTACTATTTGCAAGTACACGCTGAAAGACCGACAAAGGAAAATTCGGCATCCTTTGATAAAAATAATGATTTTTCGGAAGATTATTAAAGCAGATGCGTTGCCAGATAGATATAGTGTGCCTAAGTAACAATGAAATGTAAATATGTAAATAAAATTGTGCATACTATGTTCTTCTTGTGATAGAATTAATCTAAGTTAATTAAATTATTTATCTAGGTACTTACTAACTACTAGAGTATGATAGATGATATACCGAGTGCTAACTAATTTTTGGAAGTGTGTGATTTTAAAACACAAAATGCACGAATATGACTTCACTCATTCGAAATTCAAAATTAAATTGTTTTTATTGAAGTAGGCATTAAAATACACTTTTGAATAGTCATATAATCACTGTTTGCCCACAGTGTTTTTCTTTTCCATATTCAGGGGTGCTGATTTTGAGCTGATTACTGAGAAGAATCATGGAAGAAAGTAAGAAACTCAGTAGTTCCTCTTTTCAAAATATTTTTACTATAGTACTATAATTATATGTAAAGCGAAAAGTCAAACATAAAATGTCAAATGTATATGTAGATACCAAATCGGTATAAAAATTTCTAGTTAGTCCTGTGTAATACGAGGTCAGTTCCAAGCATTTTTGTCATTAAGATAATCATTTACTGAATAAAATAATTTTTTGGCTAAGCATATTATTTCAAATGGCTTCGCAAGATCCTCTGTTATGCCGAAATTACTGCAGCATTGTTTTTGAAATGAATAATAAGTTGAGGATTAATGTTAAGTACTATGTTAGACGAAAACACGATTCCATAAAATTTTCTCTATATATTATAGAAAAAAATCCAAAGTTACCTCCAAACCGAACTAACTATAAACCGCTGGTATTCAAAAATACTTAAAATTAGATTATGAAACTTTGCATACTAACTGAACTAACTATAAAGCAGGGCTTAGGTTATTTACTTTTTTATTTATCATTACTTACACCGTAAAAAGAAATTACCTAAACTATCGTCGTTTTAAAGTTTATTTCCTGCCCGACCACCGTCATTCACTCTAGAGTCTAGACTCTAGCTCCGGCTTTTGAAGGGAAGAGTTGTGTCGCTTGTGCTCAGAACACACATTATGCAACAGGACGACGTGAAATTAAAATATTAAAATAGACACGTAGGTTTATAGTGTTGGCGCAATGGGAAATAAGCGTAATAAAAATAAGAAGCAATTGGGTTGGCGTGAAGAAACAGGCAAACGTATGATAAATATAATGAAGTAAGTATATACCGACCTATCTACTTACAGTATTAGTGATTACAAATATTAAGTAGAAACTTAGCATATGACAGGTTTGGTGCAGTGGCTAAGAGATTGGTTGTTGCGCTACTAGTCACAGGTGTTTCTGTATGTGTAAATTTGTGGTTGTAATCGCACCGTCTACGATTCAGGAGAAATCGAGTGTGGTGCAACTGTATGAAAAAAATAATGCTGCTCCACTCCAGGATGATGATTCTATATATACTGTTTATGATTCGGAATGTTGATAGCGCGATTTAGGCTTCGGTGTGTTTTCGCTTGTGGCGGCGATGACAGCGCCGCTACAATCACAAATGTGGAAAAGTGGCAACATTGAACCTAAATGGCAATATTCTATAATTTTATTTAATTATTTGAGGTTTTTTACGTTTATATGAAAACAAGAACTAAAAATTATGTGTTGAAAGTGATTCCGCTTGATTTATTAGGTTTTTGTAACCTTGAATAACATTCTTTCATTGAACTGAACTGACGTTAGCTAGGCATATGGCTGTGGCCATATGTGCAGTGGCAACGCTTTGGCGCGGTTATTACTGTCTATTGTAATATATAAATCAATGTGTGTGTAACCGGGAAGCAGATAATGTGATTTTGTTTTTGTTTCTACTATTAAAACTGTGCAAGACACTATTCTTTATATGTAAGTAAATATTTTGTCGTACATACATGATATTTGCACAAATATATTATGATGCAACAGTCAAGATATCAATTTCTTTAAACAATTCTCTCAGAGATACTCGGGCTCCTAAGCAGTATATAGATCTTATTACATGCTTTTTATTCTGTATACACGCTTCTTATATTATTAGATTAGCATTATAAATTATTATGATATCTACCCATCCTTACCATTATCTAATTACATTATTCCTTGTGAGGTCAACATAATGTAACATAACATAAACATAAACACTCACGCCTGTCACCCAGAGGGGTAGGCAGAGGCTACAGACTTCCATTTGGCACGATCCTGACACACCTCTCCCACCTCCTTCACATCCATACACCTACGCATACATGCTCGTCGGTTAAGGGTACTCCTAATTTGGCCCGTTTTCAATAAATCGCCAATTTGGTCGATAAATTTTCGCCTAGGACGTCCCTTTCCGACTCTGCCATTCACTTCTGCAACATAAATTTTCTTTGTCACTCTTTCCTCATTCATTCTTTCCATATGATCAAACCACCGAAGCATTCCTTTTTTAATCCTGGTCACAACATCATCTTGCAAACCACACTCTTCTCTTATTACAACATAATGTATTTGTGTCCATTCAGAGCACCCGGAAAATTATTTTATTCTTTGGAACATGTACTCTGTGGCGGCAATCAAACAATGTCAAATGTTATGCGTGCGGCGCGGCGGCGACTATTGTATGCGAGATCAATAGAAGCTGCCGGCGCGTGTACCTTGTACTTCCAAATAGCTGAAAAAATCCTTTGACAGGTCAGTATAATGCCTTTGATGATGTCGAAAACAAGACGCAGCGCACTATCAAAGTGCCGATGGTCAAAACTAGGGATGCACTCTTTTTTCTTTTATTGGATATTTTCATTCGCTTGCATTGTATGTTTATGACGTAGTTCTTAATGCGCATAAGTCCACTCACTCAGTCTTAACTGCAAGTGTCTCGCAGGCTTAGTCTTGTTCTTGGTCAAATCTTGCACGGTCCGTCTTGGTTTTGGTTTTGCTAAAATTAGGCGATCATGGTCTTGGTATTGGTCTTGAAAAAATGAAAGAATAAGACCAAGACCGATTTTAGCCAACACAAGCACAAAAAAGAAGCACGACGATAAACCTTGTAATTCTACTTCAGTGACTGCAATACTGTAAAGATTGGCCTGATCATCCAAGAGTTGTAGAAATGTTAAAACTACCGAAGTATTACACGGAGTTTGTGTTTGCGAATGAAGAAGAGTGGAACATGGTTAAAAAATGTGCATCATTAGAGCAGGTGATTATGTATGTAAAAGTAGGGTGTAATACGTGAACGGAGTAGAATAAACTATTTATTAATCTATGGTAGAAGCCTATAATACTGATATTTTACAAAAAATAAAAAGAAACATTTTGATTTAAATAAACAAATTAATTATAATCTATCGAAATTCACATAATATTCAAACTACTTTACGAACGGCAGAAAACGGCGAAATAAAGGGGAATGGCAGGCTTGTATGGGAGTTTCGTACACACATAGACAAACCCCTTTTAAATTCTTAGATTTTTAGAACTTGGGAAATAGAAGTTATTACCAGTTTTAATTTTTAATATTATCTACATAGCAAGCGACAAAACAGGAGTGACAATCCGTCTACGGCCAAGTTCCCGCCAAAAAAAACCCAGAGATAGTTGATACTTAAAGACAACAAAGATTAATTACGTGGTAAGTATACATCAGAAGGGACAATTAGGTAATAGGTAAAATAAACAATACTCATTTCTAGACATTAGAATATTTATTTTAACACCTAAAGAGAAAAATGCAAACATTTTATATACAAAAAATACTTTTCTATCACTAATCATCTTTTACTGTTTGTTTCTAATTCAATTTTTTTTATTGAAAGAACATGACGTTGTTTGCTTCATGTCACTTTGCAATTATTATTTACACAATTAATATACAATAATAAATTGGATTAATAATAAATTGTATATATTACAATTATTGAAAATTATAATTTATTTGCCCTCGATCAAATTTAATTTGTTTCTTTGCTGAAGTTTTGTTGCGTTTTCTCTTGTTTTGTTGTGTTGTTTGTCTGTTTGAACAATTTTGGCCCATTTGTTCCTTAATAATTCGTCATTCGAAAATCTGGAAAACAAACAACCTAAATTCTACAAAACGTAACATAAATTCTAACAAAGATGAACTTTTTTACCTGTACTGTTTTCACTTCTCATAGAATAATTTATGACGTTCAAGTTAGTGCTATCCTTGTTACACTCACATAAAATTGTATACTCTGTCCTTTATTTACAACAAAGTAGAAAATTGCCTCTAGAAAACGTAATAATTATTAAATTTAATTTAAAATGATATAAATGTATGATAATTTTTGACAAACTTACGTGTGATATAAAACTTCTTTGTCTTTTTTTATTTTGAAATAATAATTTTTACACTTCCGCATCACACAACATTTCGAAGATATTTTTTTGCGTAAGCGCGTGTGATTCAGATCGCGGTTCCGCACCACTAAATAGAATTCTTACAATTGTGTGAATTTAAGTAACTTACCGTGCACATAGGTATGCCTCATCAATCCTTTAAATATACACATTATCACTGTTACCCCGGCAATACATGTTGGCCAAGCCTCAGCTAAGGCGAGCGTAGGCAAATTGATACAAGGCGAGTGCTACAGTCTACACGTTGATCAAGTTCGAAAGAGACCAATGCCAAGGCCAATGTTCACGAGTTTTTGTGGAGCTATCCACATGTTGGCAGTAATTCGTTGTCATTGAGAATTAGAACGATATGGACGACGTAGAAGTTATTGCAGCTTTTTAAAAATAAGGATTTTTTATTTTGTAAAACATGAATAAAAAAAACAGGTGTTAAAAAACTTAACGAGCTACATGTTTTGCCATTTATGGAGTACAAAAATTATACTACATATATTAATTATTCTACAAGACAAATTAACTAACTACGTTCATAATTTTAGATGTGCAACAATTTCAATGGCATCTCGTAAAATTGCATTAGAGAAATGTCGCAATTCATTATTTAGCTTAAAAATCAATCACTTAAGAAATCAGGCAAGCTGTAATAACATTTGGCTATCAGATATTTTTTAAGATGTAGCTTAAAAAGTCTGGTAGGCAATTGTTTGATGTGTTTGGGGATTTTATTATATATTATTGGCGCCAGACAGAAAATACTTTTATGCATCAATTCCGTTTTTGAACCAACTGCGCATAACCTATCTACTATTATCCCTGCGATTGCGAATTGTAAAGTCCGATAGTTTGTTAAACAATGTAATAAAAAGCAAACTTCGTTCAAAGTAACCCTAACTTTGAACGGAGTTTGCTACTTCATATATAAATAAGGAGGGTAAGCTCAAAATGTTGTGCTCAATGGAATGTGGTTTGCAGCTATCAGTAATTT